GAGCCCCACAGGAGCTGCTGCATTCCTGACTCCGAGCTGAGCTCACAGAGAGGACAGAGAACTCTTCCCAGCAGATGTCACGCCAGCAATTTTCCCTCTTGTATATGCAGATGCAGAGCTATTGAGGATACATTAAAACTCTCCTTATGCTGCTTCTGCCTTGTTACTTCCTAGCTCAGGGCTTCAGAAACCATACAAACATGCTCTGAATTAGCATTTTAAATACATCCCATTTGCTGAATCGCCACTACACTACAAACAGCACAGACTTTTTTCCATCTCCATCCCAACTGAAGGGAAGCCTTCCATCCTTGCTCAGGTTAACCAGTAACGGATTACACCACAGTTGCATTTTGCTCTCAACATGAAAAGCATGGCAAGATTGCACTGATCATTAGAAACAGCAGAGCAAAAGCTTGGTATTTGGCCAGGTTTGACAACTCGGACCTGTATTACGCTGTCCAGGATAAGCATACTATTGCTCCTGGGGGAAGGTCTATTTTCTCAGTTTTCTACTAAATTCTGACCAGTAACTTTGATTTCACGTGCTTGCAACCCAACTAAGGCACATGAAGTCAGAATACTCTGAATTTTCTCATTTAACTCTTAAGATACGAAATCAGGTTTGCACTGTTCAACCCTGTAATTTCATACATCTCTAAACTAAAACCACATGGGAGGTAGCATGCAAAGAAGCATGCATGTTTTTATCCACAAGCCACCCTGCCTAGCAGTAACTCATCAGAAATGTCAAGCAGAGGAACTCTTTATTCAGAAACTGTTCAGTCTCTTATGGAAACCAGGTTAGGCCCAGCCAGAAAGTTACCCTGTCATTTATGGTAATGAAAGCAAGCTGCAGTCTGGTTGTGTGATGTTAAGCGGTTTTTATACGTACCCATATGTCTGCTTTTGTAGTAATAAGTTTGCCACTATACAGGTTGACCATTTCTGGTGCTCTATAGGATAACGTAGTGTACCTGTAGCAGAAAGATCTATCAGTGAGTTCAAAATAGATATCGGGGGCATTTTCACAATGTCACATTTCCAAGTAATTCAAAATTCACTTTTCTAGAGTCAGTTCACTGTTGAAGTGAAAATGAAATGACATCTATTGGAAAAATTTTTAACAACAGTATCTGCTACATACCTCTAACAATAAAATACTAACTACTGCAAACTGCTCTGTGAAACCAAAGCAGTAACCAAGATCCTTTCTAAAGCAAGCAATTTACTCACAAAACAGTACAGTCATTTTAAGACCTAGAACAGAAATATTCAAGGATTCAGAGCATTAACAAGGTCAGTAGTCAAATGTCCTCTGCAATGTCCTCACTGCTGGGGCTTTGGCCAACTGTATTACAAAGATTGTAACCAGATACAGGGCTCCTAATAAATAGACTTCCATAGCAGGACTCCTGCTCAGAGTCATTGTAAATAAGGGAAAGGTTATTTCATATCTCAAACTATAGCTAGAATCTGCCTCATTTTAACAAATCACTACAAACAGAAAAGCTGGAAACTGCGCCATGGGTTAAGAGACTCTTACGATAAGATTTCCTATCAGTAGGTCTATAATTTCTGCTGCGGCACCTTGCATGCTATTTACCTTGATCACAAGAAAGCACTGCTAAAGGCAAACTTTTTGTAGACTTGTTAATAAGTGTACAAACAGGGCATTCCAAAGGGACTGCAAAGCCGGAGTAGGAGTGTTCTGAGAACTTCAGCCGTTTAAACAAGTCTAGGAAATCCATACAGGTGTAATTGAATCCTAACAAAAAGGAGGCGTTTGCACACATTTCTAACATGCTATTTTCTAGCCAGAATATTGTATTAACAGGACTGGAAAGTCTGCAGCAGTGATGATGTTAAAACTAAAGCAGGACCAAGGACCTAGAGTCTGCTCCATTCCTCATCTAGGTCCTGTTGAACTGCCACCTAAGTTCCCTTTTTAAAAGCATCAAGGTGCACCTAGTTGCTACCACTATAGCTGGTTGTGCATGAGGCAAGAGAAGGAGCCAGATTAAACACCTCAAGGTCCTTATGTTTTTGTATGAAGAGCTGAGGAGTTAGGCCATGCATTCCCTTAGTCACTGCAAGGATTTATGATGAGTGGCTCATGGAGGACAGGGATTTTGCCATCTGCTGTACCGCAGTTCAAAGAAGCCAAGATAGATGAGGGACAGAGATAGACTGACCCCATACATAACAGAACATGTCACCACCTCATCAAGGTGGGCAACTTCTCTGCATTAGTACGCTCAGTCTTTCAGGTCTAAAGCAATTACCTCAAGCTCAATTTATTGTTTCACCTTCCCCCAGGCGCTTATTTACCTGCAGCAGACACTTCTATGCAGCAGCATCCAATCTGCTGCAACAGGCCTGAGTAAAATTTAGTCCCAGTACAAGAGAAAAAAAAAAAAAAAAAAAAAAAAAAAAATCACCCTTCATATACAAACGATGTCCAAGTTGAAAAGGAAAAAGCACACTTACTTTTTGATCTCCTCCTCCACCGCATTCACCCCTTCTGTTTGAGGGTTCTGGAACTTGTTAGTAGCACTTCCAAAGTCACACAGGACATAGTGGCCACGATCGTGCAGCAGGATGTTTTCAACCTATGAGCATCACAGACAAGTACAGAATCCTCAGACAAAAAAAACCATTCGTTTTCTTTAGATGAGCCAGGGTTTTTAGTGCCTGAAGACATATCAGACATGTCTGACATAAAAGCATAACATGACAGCAAAGAAAATATGCATCAAATCTCTGTCACATCTCCTAAAATCGAAGTCAAATTGTGGAAGCATAGTCGTAACACTGCCTTCCATCCTGCCACCTCTCCTTTCTCCTTTTGCAAGCACATCACCTTGTCTCTACTAAGACTACTATGTGCTTCAGGACAAGAACTGCATCCCGGTGTCTTTAGTACTCAACTTCCTTGAGCTACTATGACCCACAGTCTGGCATCTGAATTTGGGACAGCTAATACAAGCTGTCCACAGCTTTATAAAGAGCTATACCCCCTCGCTGCCTAGTGGGGCAGAGAGGAGGCAAATGGATGACAGCACACACACTTCTGTACTTTATGAAATTATAATAAACCTCCAGTTCTTTGCCTGCATTTCACCTGACACTTCAGGTCTATTTCAAAACAAACCTCAGCTTATGCTCACACTTTAGTTGCTCGTTACCAGAATGTGTTGGGTACTCCACATTCCCTAAACAGTGGCTGTATCAGCAGAGGTTCCTCCAGCCTGCTGAGAAGATGACCCCTTTCTGTGAAATATTATTTGGTAGCTTGAATCAGACAACTGAAACAAATGCTGAAACAAACACTTGGGATAATTTAAAAAATAAATAAATAAATAAAATCAAAGTCACTGACTTTCCCCTAGACACTCACACTTAATCATGCATTAACAAAAATCTAGCTTGCATCCACCTAAAAAGCTGTCTAAATGTTACGACACTGACATAAGATGTGGAAAGACCTGGGTTCAGTTCCTTGCTTTGGCAGAACATCCCTGTATTCCAGTTCCTCATCTGTACAGTGGCATTAACAGCATGTTCTCTCAAGGGAACGCGCACAATTTTTAATGTATTTATCTTCAATCAATGTCAAATGCTCAGATACAACGAGATAAAACATACTGCTCATATATTTCAAAAAAAATCACCATATAAGTGTTCGCTAACAAAACCTTTTGGAAGTAGACCTCCCCATCAAGGATGATCTTTACAAGAAGGAAAGAAAAAGAAGGAGTCAGCATTTTAAGCATCAGAAAATGCAGCCAAATTAGAGCAGCTGAGGGGGGAAACGCTGGCTTGAAACCAAGGGTTAAACAACACCCCTTCCCCCCTCTGCTATCCATCTGCTTTGAATAAAGCATTGCACACAGATGTTCTCCCTAGCAGATCAACACTGACAGCATTATTCCCTATTCCCTGCAAATACTCAAACATTTCCAGAAGAGTCCTTCCACTTTATCTGGCTGAGAAGTCTGAGGTGACTTCTCACTGAAACATCCTGCAAGTTTTGTTAGACATCAGCACTGGACTTTCTAGCAACGAGGCTTGTTCAGTAACTTCCAGAAAAAGAAAGAAAAAATACAGCAAAACAAAGTACCTGAATTACTGCTACTGACTGCCAGGCCAGAGAAAACAGTCTTTTTAAAAGAGTATGGAGGTGTCTTCTTCCAGTCAAACACTCAGAAAGCTGCAATCCAGTTTTCAGCACTGTTGAGAGCTTACAACTCTGGCTGCAGTCTTTGACATGCCCAACACTTACAAAGTCAGCTTTAGGCCCCAAACAAAAATCTTTAAGGGAAACTACGAATTGCCTTAAGTTTTGTTAGTTACAGAATGTAGCTAGCTTCTGTCTCTACTCTCTGAAACAAATGCCTTTCTTTGCTAAAACCAGCAGTAAAGTCGTAAAAACACTGCACAGACACAGACTGGCGAGGGATAAGTAGTAAGGCTTTCTTTAACTAGCAAAATCAACACACATTATCCTCCTGTGAGCACAATGGCTTCTAAGGCTGGTATTTCTAAGTTCAGGTAGCAATTTGGGAGGGATGCACGACCAAGGTACACTTTCTGACTGCTTTCCAGCACCTTCAGGTCTCTTTAGAGATGTTTCAACTTCCCTTCCTCCCCTGGCACCATTCACTATTTACCTCTAAAAGCTTGTTTAGTATTTCATAGCAAAGAAATTAATGCAATGTGACATCTAAGAGCGCTAACTGATTTTGGCACAGGCATATTCTTAAGATGGTCAATACAAGGGTTTACCATTACAGGACTGAACAATTTTACATATCACACACTGAACACAGATCCGTCCAAACGAATTCCAGGGCAAGACTTGGCATTACAAAGAAGGGTGGTGGAAGAAGGCACAGAGATAACAGCAGCACAACATGACTGTCTTATCACACCACAGAGAAGTGCAATACTGGGAGGACTCCTGCTAAAATGAAAGCAGAATAAACTAAAACCTTTACATGAGAGCACAACCTTCTGGTAATTTC